CTTCCACCTCTCTGAGCACTTCTTAGAAAACTCTGAGAAGTTGACGGAAGCATCTGGGTGCTTCTTCTTGTGTTCCTCCCGGCAAGTTTGCACAAAGAAGGCATACGATGACATTTTGCCTCTCGGCTTCTTAGGGTCTCCTTAGCCCATGTTTAATTACCTTCCCTCAGCGAGCACACAGTCACCCAGTGCCCGGCCGGCTCGCACTTGCCCCGGCGCTGTCTCTATGGAGCTCAATGTACTGCAATCTTCTTTATTTTTTTAATGGGTTGCTTTTACTACACTGACAATTTTTACAAAGTGAAATTTCACATAGTTAAGCATTATGCACATGGTTAAACAATCAAATTGCTTGGAAGGGACTTTAATGAAAAGTGGCAGCTCTGTGCACTGCTCTCATCTCTCAGGTCTAACCCCAGGGAGAATAAAGTTTTAACAGTTGCTCTTTTTAGTTCTCTTGTTATTTTCTTATTAACGAATTGACCCCATCTCTTGTCCATTTCATCAGTGCTGACATTCTCTCTTCTCTTCCTGCTCTCAGAAGTGGTAATTTAGCTCAATCTTCACCACCAACCACCCCTGCTAATAGTTACATCAGATTCCTGGCCTACTGGTTAGTTGTACAACCTTGGAAGGCAGTAGGGTCACTCATTTGTCCCCAGGCCTTCCACTTCTTCCCACTTCTTATCCTGACCTTAGTCTTCCCTGGCAGACAGTCACCCTCTTTGTAGCTGTCACCGCCTTAGGAGCTGTCGCCCCCTCTGCATGTCTTCTAATCTCTGCATCACCGTTAGCACTCCTCCATCCACCTTCCTCTCCCAGGGATAGACCAAGTTTCTCTCTGCCTCTTGTTCTCTATTGTCCTTATCACCCTGGGCTTTTATTTTGGTCCTTGTTTACTACCACTTTAATGGGAGGTCAGAAGGGGAGGAAGGAAGGCAGGGAAGAAGAGAAGATGCATGAATTTTAAGTGGGAATTGCAGGCAGATGTTCTCAAAGCAGGGTATATACAATTTCTAATGACAGGTCGATAGATTTCATCAGTTTTTCGACATAATCCAAAAGAGGACCCAAAAGATCAGAAGTTAAAGTAACCAAATGAACCCAGGCATCAAAATCTAAGTTGATACTGGAAGCCAAACGGAGGCAACAAGGTTTAAGCAGGAGATCAGACCAAGATCAGGTGGAACTGGAGCAAGGGCTGGATGGGAGGTAACATCAGTACAGGATGAAGCTCAAGGATGCTGAGATGGGGGACGATGTGTGCCAAAGAAAGGCTATTGTGGGGGCATCATCTAAAGGGATTCACTGGTCTGGGGCTGTGTCCAAAGGGCAACATGCTAAATAGACTGTCTTATTGTACTGAGCTAGAAAGGAGACAAGACATCATCCAAAAGAGGACCCAAGAGATCAGAAGTTAAAGTAATCAAATGAACCCAGGCATCAAAATCTAAGTTGATACTGGAAGCCAAACGGAGGCAACAAGGTTTAAGCAGGAGATCAGACCAAGATCAAGTGGAACTGGAGCAAGGGCTGGATGGGAGGTAACATCGGTGCAGGATGAAGCCAAGGATGCTGAGATGGGGGACCATCTGTGCCAAAGAAAGGCTATTGTGGGGGCATAATCTAAAGGGATTCACTATGTAAAGGGTAGAACTCTAGTTAAATGTAGTGGTAGACTTTGTCATTGTTTGACATTATTCCGTGTTCCTTTTTAGGAAGAATTATACTTCTCAACCTATTCAATTCAGATGTGGCCATGAGATTTGCTTTGTCCAATGCGGTTTAAAGCCATTTGGTAGAGTTTAAGAGCTTAAGAGCTAGCATATGCTCTTCCATGCTCTCTTTTTCCTTTACCTCAATATCTGGTAGAGACTGGCCTCTCTGTCTGGGTCTTAGAATGAGTATAATGAAGATATTGGAGCAGAATTTCCAAATGATCCTCAATAAACCTGTACCAATAAATACATTTATGTTATTTTCTGCCACTGAAATAATTTTAAAATCACAGCATTACCTAGCCTACCTTGACTGATACGAATGAAGATACTGGTTGGAAGCTAATAATTAATGGTGATGTCTGGTTATACTTATTTTAATATGACAGGCAAAGTATGACAATGATGTTGCAAGAGAAAACAACTAGAAAAAATACGACTTCAATGTTTATTTAGGATGATTTGTAACAGAGAGTGAAGTCTTTAGATAAATTTGTTACATACATATGCTAATGTCATAGCCAGTCAAGTGAAAAATAAATGAATAGGAGACCCAGCTTCCTTTATTCTCAAGTATCTTACAGCCCAATAGAAACTCAGAATACACACACACACACACACACACACACACACACACACAAACACATGCACACTTTCACTGTATTGAAAGCATGTAAAAGGGTCCTATTCTTGCCATTTAAGAGTTCAAAGTCTAAGAAGACCAAACATACCAGGTTGCTGAGTTTTGTTATTGTGATTGTATTGTTATCCTAATTATCGTCATCATCATCATCATCATCATCATCATTTTGCTGCTGTGGTGTTAGATATTAGACACAAAGAATGGCTGTTGATTGGAGTTGCAAAAATAAGTTTCATTGTTTTTTGTCCTGTTTAGTTTTCTGAGCTATGTAGCCTTTGAAGGGAGAAAGGTGGTAATTTATTATTTTACATAAACAAATGGCTTAGGAAAGTTGTGGTTTTGAAGTGATGGGACTATAGAATGAGAAAGGTTTTGAAAAAAAGATGCAATCAGGTAGGCAGGCGAGGGATGGACTCCATCCTTAGAGGAAAATCAAGACAGAGCCCCAGGAGCTAGCAAGAGCTCATCTCAGATCACAGAGGCTAATTCTCGAAGGCAAGCCCAGGGAAGGGGTGACTGTTAATGATGAATGGACCATTCAGCCATTCTGACTTGGCCTAGGAAAGTGGGCATGTACAGAGGACAATACAGAGATTTTTCTTCATTGTTTTTCCATTTGCAAACACAGCTTTTTATAGCTTCCACATTAGTAATCCATAGTCGACTGAATATCGTATTGGCATTTGACCCAAGCCCCTCACCATATTCATGACATGCAACACCAATTGCAGGGCTGTTGGCAACACTAACTGTTCATTTTTCTCAATTGACCTCACATCTACTTTTGAATTAAGAAAAATGCTGAGAACAAAGGCAAGGAGCCTTTCTGAAAGTAATGCTGAAGGGCATTCTGCTTAAGATGAAAGCAAATGGAAGTGAGACTTAACAAATACCTGCTCTGGCTTGGGTTATTTTAAAGGTGCTATTCTTGAGCATTTTATTTTACTTTTTATTTATTTTTTTTGTTGTTAATCCTTAGGTGCTATTCTTGAGCATTTTATTTTACTTTTTATTTTATTTTATTTTTTTTGTTAATCCTTACCTAAGGATACATTTCCATTGATTTTTAGGGAGAGTGGAAGAGAGAGGGAAAGACAGAGAGAAACATCAATATGAGAGAAACACACCAATTGGTTGCCTCCTGCACATGGCCCCACTCGGGCTGGGGAGGTGCCTGTAACTAAGATATGCATCCTTGACTGGAATCGAACCCGGGATCCTTTGGTCCACAGGCCTATGCCCTACCCACTGAGCCAAACCGGCTAGGGACTATTCTTGAGCATTTTAAATGAAGAGTTGTCTTTTTCACAAGCTCTTTGAAAAATTCTCCTGAATTGTATTCAATGCCTACTAATTTACCATGCAGCATTTTCACCTTGGTGTTAATAATGTACATTGAATATATTTGGGTATATGTTATTATGTTTGTTTATGTATAATTGCTGCAAAATAAAGTTTATAAAAGACAAAGGTATTTTTTTTAGATTAAATAAGGTATCTACTGCTTCAGCTAAACCACCATTCTAAAAAGAGTTTATTCTTCAAATACTGAAAACAAGTACATCCAGCCTTTTATCTATCAGCAAGGGGAAAATTCATTGAATACATAATAGAAGTGATATTCTGCTCCCGCTAGTTCATAACTTTCTTCAAACATTTCTAAAATTTAATGGGGTATAAGTACATACACATAAGTAAATAATTAAATAGACGTTGGCTATAAAAATGAATAAATAGCCTGACCTGCGTGGCTCAGTTGGTTGGAGCGTCGTCCCATACACCAAAACATTATGGTTTAGATACATAGGTCAGGGGTTCAATCCCATGTCAGGGTGCATACAGGAGGCAACTGGTTGATGTTTCTCTCTCACATCAATGTTTCTCTCTCTCTAAAAAATCAATAAGCGTATCTTCGGGTGAGGATTAAAAAAATGAGTAAATATAAAAAACATATAACAACAGATGATGTCTGCATAATGTGGGAAAACTAGGGCAATAGTTTAGATTTTATTGTACTGTATGCAGTGATAAGAAATCATATTTTAAGTGTGCATAAGATATTTGAGGAGTCCAGAGAAGGATTAGCTTTACTTACATGTAGAATAGACCACAGCCCTTGAGAGGGGATTCTGGGTATTTGAGGAAGCTCCTATTCTCAAAGAATTAACCAGGCATTTCCTGCGGGTATCTAGGATGTCATCAGAAGAGACTCTTTGCCTGGATTTCAAGCAAGGTTTTTCTTTATTTAATTATTTTTTACTAATAAAAAATTATATTTACTTAGAAGCATTCAGAATGTCAACAAAACAGCTGCAACTTTTTTTTGCAATTACAGAGTGGTATTCAGTTAACAGAACAACAATTATTTTGTATAAGCTGCATCAGAGACAACCGAAGATGAAAAAACTACCATCCCCATATAGAACTAATTTGTGCTGTGTACCAAGAACCTGCTTTAAATTTCCATGCCAATTTACAACCCCC